TCCCTTTAGGGCACAAAAAGAAGCACTTCTGCAATAACAAAACCAAATTCGCGGCTAAATCAATCGCTTCTACTGGTTCGTACTCAGTCTAATCTCCTTCAATCTTCGATTCTCATTCTGGGATTTTTTCATTATTCTCCTCTCAGTTTTTGATTGGTTTCGACTGTTTTATTCGAGAAAGTTTTTTTTTAAGTTTTAAACTTCGGATCCTCTCAATTTCGTCTTCGCTTTCGATTGTTTCTTACCTCAAATCCGATTCTTGATCAATTTTACTTTCTTAGCTACTAAGCTGACAATTGAATTTGTCAATTTGAGCTCAGATTTTCTAATTGAACTTCTTCTTCTCTCACTTCGATCTCCAAAATTTTAATGTACTTGTTTGATTATTGCAGTCAGGTGTACGAATTGAGAATTGGGGTTTTTAGGTCTTGGATTTGAGAATTTGGATGAAGCTGGATTTAGTTCAGGTGAAGATTTGTTGAAGATGGGGTCAGATCAATGTTTTGCCCGATTGAATATTCTTGAGATAAAATCCCTCATTTACCAGAAAATCGGGCATTCGAGAGCAGACTGTTACTTTGATCAGCTTGGTAAATTCCTTACCTCGAGGATAAGCAAGTCTGAATTTGATAAGCTTTGTTTCAAGACGATTGGTCGGGAAAACATCCCGCTTCACAATCGTTTAGTACGTTCCATCCTCAAGAATGCAAGTGTTGCTAAATCTCCTCCCCCACCGCGGTATCTGAAGAAATCCCAGTCTCTTTATGGGGATTCTGCTTTCCCTCCTTCGCCTCGGAAATGCAGGTCAAGGAAATTTAGAGACCGGCCAAGTCCGCTTGGTCCACTTGGGAAGCCTCAAAGTATTACTACTACAAACGACGAGTCAATGTCAAAGGTACAAAGACTTCCGATGGAAGTGGAAGATGGAGAAGAGGTTGAACAAATGACGGGATCTCCAGGTGTGCAAAGCAGAAGCCCGTTAACTGCTCCACTTGGTGTTTCTATGAACGGAGTTCGAAAGTCTATTTTCAGTACATCTCTATGCAGCAATGGTATCAAGCGTGAGACTTGTCAAAGTAGTGGGGAGCTGCCTGATACAAAAACATTGAGGGCTCGGTTGGAGCATAAATTGGAGATGGATGGGATAAAGTTATCGATGGACTCTGCTAATCTTCTTAATACCGGATTGGATGCATTTATCAGAAGATTGATCGAGCCTTGTTTGAATTTGGCTAGCTCTCGTGTGAGAGAGATGAACAGCCAGCAAAAGCGAGCGCTATCCAATATATCGATGTTGGATTTCCGTGCTGCCATGGAGTTGAATCCTCGGGTTCTTGGAGAGGATTGGCCAATACATCTAGAGAGGATCTGTTCCCGAGCGTCAGAAGAGTAAAGTTGTAGAAAAAAGCCGTAAACTTAACATACACCGGTTCTACATGAAACTGATATCTTTGATTGTTTGATAGATAGATTCTTTCCTGGAATTTGATGGAATTGCCAGAAGTTCTTGAGGAAGCTTTGAAGGGAAACAAAGAGGCTTGGGGTTTGTACAAGTTGTGATAGATATATAGATATATAGTTTTAATACCCATTTGTTTAGCAGATGTCTCTACTTTTTTCTGTATTTTTTCCTCCTCACGTCTCTCTAATGTAACAAAATTTCCAAGTAAGCAAAAGAAAATTTTAACATTCAGTCCTTTATAGATTCCATCCTCTTCGCAGGAAGTTGCATTTCACTGCAGCAGAACATAATTCAGACAAATATGAGGAAAAGAAAACTCATTGCTTTGCGTAATCATACTTGTCAACATGTGTAGTTCTCCAAACTCTTACATTTACCAACCTAAATCTACAGACAGAAAATGGAAACTCTTGATGAATGAAGTTTTTCATAACTAATTGCAGTTTTAATAAGGGCTTTTAGGCTGTGTTTCTTCATTCCTCAACCACAGCGCGAGACAATGTAGAAGATATTTGAGTGTCTCAGCTTGAAATCGCGACTGGCTTTTCACGGTTTGCCATGTACGTCATGTAGATTGTCCATATATACGAAAATGAGTTGCTTACAAGAGGCTGCAGGAAAATAAAAACAAAAGCAGAGTGAATAAGCAGCAAAACCAGGAAAAGTGACGGGTAAATTAAAACGATTTGTCTTTTGAGTTTTGCCTTGAACCTCACATGTCTAACCAGAAGAAGTGTGAGTCAAATGATCATTACCTGTAAATGAACGGGGAAGAACCTGAATGTTATAAAATCACATACAGGCCAATACATGACACCGTTTAGCAACGCAGGGAGTAAGTCCCTTTTCAATCTAGCAAGTATATCTGAACCGCCTTCACCTGCGCAAATAACGGAAAGCAGAATAGCTTAGAACATGGTTTAGTGTAATCAAAACACAGATAAAAGAATGGAACTCTATCACTGATATCACTATAATCTCTAATCATCTTTTTATTTGTAAGACAAGGTTTAAGAAACTGACATCCAGATATGAACCCAAGATTTCTGCATTCAAGAAGCAGAGAGGCAACTTGTTTTAAAACCTATGTGTCTGTCCGTAAACTATAAGCAGAAGTTACAATGTCACAGATGTGTTTATTCGAGACTGTGGATCCTGTTAACTAATGGAAATAACCAATAAATCATCAGTTATCATTCTCACTTCAACACATACTAACATCAGCGAAAAAGATTGAGAGTTGCGAAAAACTGTAGTGTCAATCATAGACTGTAAATGTATAGTAAACTGATCTAAATCACAAAATTTAGATGCAGATAAGATTCAAAGTTGGATGGTCATAGAGTAATGACAGAGATTGAAAAACGGTATGTATATCTCTTCCTTTCCTAGCACAATTCTAGCTTCAGATATATATAACAAGCTTACCCTGTAGGGATGCGTTCAATGAGAAGAAGATAACGGTCATGGTAGGCCCGTATATCGTCTGTCCCATGGCCATTTTCTTAAACGTTGTGATCAAATCTTGTTTGGGAAAGAGCCTTGACATGAAATTGAACCAATAGTGAAGTGTTGGACCCAAGACAAATAGACCATATCCACCCATCCTAGCTGTTCTGACAAAGTCATAAGACTCGGAAGAACTCTTCGCAATTGTCTGTTGAAAGATGGACACAAAGAGACCATTGTCAGCTACTCAGCTCTAAAAATCAGTTCTCACAGAGTGAAAGGCTCAAATAACAATACACTACAAGGAAAATGTAACATTGGAAATGGCTCAATCCACATCAAAGAGCTGCTTAAATCAATCACCAAGCCAAGCCTAGAAACATGTCCACAAGTTTGAGCCTTTGTGAATCATATAACCAAGAAAAGGAAACCCATTTTCCAGTAAAATCGAAAGCTTACATGCAATCAAAACAAAGGAGAAGTGGAAACCCAGAATTTGAAAAGTAGTACCTGAGAAGACAAATCGGCGGCAATATAGATAAGCGAGGATGTGACACTTTTGGTGAGAACGGGGCGTGATTTTACCATACCAAGATACCATCCGACGAACCCGATCTTCGAAACCGATGC